TTCTCAGTGAAAGTCATGAACTAGCCTTTCAAAATTTCTCAACCCGACCTATTGTAACAGGGAGGAGGGTCAATCTGCCACCTCAATATGATGCACTACTAGTTAGTAAACTTGAATCAATGGGATGGCTAAATTTAATTAATTTACCCCAAAAGGTATATCCACGGCTAGTATCCCTTTTTTATGTTCACCTAAGAGTTACTCACGAAGAAGATGGAAATTTTACTCTTATCTCATATGTCAAAGGAAAGGGTGTACAGTTTGATGTTCCTACTTTGGCACGTATTATTGGAGTTGAGGTAGGTGAAGAAAATACCTACTTTCAGACTGAGGCTGAGTTAGTTAATATTGTCGGTAATGGTTCTGATGTATATACTACTATATGTCAGAACAGATTTACTGGAACTAGTCTACAAGCAAGACATTTAAAATCTTATCTTCGCATCCTCCACCGGTGGATTGTAGAAAATGTCACTCCGAAAAAAGGACATCATCATGCGGTCCCATATTTTAATGCCTATTTGTTATACTGTTTTGAGGTTGGGCAGAAGTTAGATGTGGCTTACATAATTATGAAAGAAATGGTGCTGGCAAATCAAGAAATGGGCCGGTCATTACTGTTTGGGGCGCTCTTGACAAAAATTTTCAAATATTTTAAGATTCATCTTGCAAATGAAATGGAGATCAAAATCCGTTCACCCATTACGCTATATACTGTGAATCGGGCTGGTGCAGCCGCCAATTTAATGGGAAATGATAATGCTGCAGAAGATTCAGAGGATGAAGTCCCACCAGATGATGCTCGACAAGATCCTCCTGTCAATGTGATGCCATCAACTGAACCACCTTAATATTGGACTGATTTTTTGGCCATAGAAGAACAACGTTATAATCAACGCGTTGAATGGGAACATCAAATGGCTAATCAGGTCAATTTGTTGGGTACTCAGTTTGAGACATTTGCCACTGCACAGAACTCATTAATTGAACAATTTGGTGAGTTTCGTTTGGACATTGGAAGACGTCATGACATGGCAAACAATCGCATTGATAGAATTGAGCATCGTGTAAATGACATATACCATCACTACTTCCCTCCTCCACCACAACCAGATAATGACTGCTGATCGATGTGCCACAATGTTAATCCATTGTTTTGTCTTGTATTATTTTCACAACCTTTTGTTAGGTAAATTTCTTTTATGAATGTACTGATTTTGTAATATTATGTGATATAAAATGAACTTGCTTGGGTATTACTTTAGCACCATCTTTTCGACCTACACTCATACCATAATCTGTAATATGTTATTAATGTTTCTGATTACTTAAATTTGTATGAAAGTTTTTGAAAGGTGTAATGGTAACCAATAGATTCATGATAAGTACTTAGCAATTGGTGTGTTTTGTTTTTACCAATCAATATGGTATCCAAAGAAGCAGTAGAGAATAGATCGCAACCATCTCAAGAAACAAAAACTGAGCACAAATTAATTAATTTCTCATTTTACATATATAGAAAACGCAAGTGAGACATTTCATATAATTGTACACAGTTTTTCCGTTTGGACTTGATTGCGTAACAGAAGAACAACACCCATGAAGAAGCAAAAAAAATATATGAGCCCCTTACCTGACATATTCATGAAGAAGAATTAGATTCATGATAAGTACTTAGCAATTGGTGTGTTTTGTGTTTACCAATCAATATGGTATCCAAAGAAGCAGTAGAGGATAGATCGCAACCATCTCAACAAACAAAAACTGAGCACAAATTAATATTTGAGAAATCAGACAGAGGAGATTCATTGAGATGAAGATAAGACGCAGATTGAATGAAGGGTGAAATTATAGCCCCTTGGAATTATAATCATCTATAACAATATGAAGATAAGACACAGTTTTTCCTTGTCCTTTTCCAATAGATGACACCAATAGATGAAACCAATAAATACAGAACCTTTCAAGGTAACCTATTAGTTGTTCGAAATAAAATCTGTCGTTGAAGATCTTCGTAGTACGCCCTTTGCATTGGATTTAAATTTGTCATGTCCATTGACATTATTTTATGATCTTCATTTCGTTGTTCTCTTTCATTCATCATAGATAGGAGTTTTAGTTGTTCCTCCCTATCTTCGGCCATTCTTCGACGGTCTGCAGCTATCTGGTTACGGTCGATCGCCTTTTGTTCATCTCGCTCAATAGTTCTAGCAGAAATAGTTGATAACACTTCAACCATTTTGGATTGGTTGGCAGCCATTTCATCAAATCTACTATCGCGGGTTGTTTGATTCTTCAACTTCTCTTTCGCTGCTTTAGTACCAATTGGTCGTGTTGATAGATTAGATGGTTCTTCGTGCAGAACATTATTCTGGTTGGATTGAAATGCATCAGATTCTCCAGTTGGTAGATTAGAACATGGATAAGCATGTTGCGTACTCTTTTTGGATTGTGTTCGAAATTCATCCCACTTACAACTTCGGCGCAAAATATCCCAACATGTATCAAATGTGAAGTGTTTTTTCTGTATTACATGATACATCCGCTTTGCTTCAACGACCTACAAGAAAAAATTACAACAATTTTAATAACAAATACATGTTTACAGAAGAAATTTGATATTTAATAACACAAATAAATGTTACCATGTCTGCCTCAGTTGTTCCACTTTGTTGCCTCAGTTGAATTTGTTCAAGAAAACCACAGAATTTATTAATTGCCTTTTGCATGGCAGACCAACGGTGAGACAAAGAAATACGGTTTCGATTTGATTCACCACTCAATTGTGAATTAAAATTAACAAGTACTCGTTCCCAAAATATAACCATAGTCTGACTATTACCAGTAATGGGATCTTGAGAGACTGCTAACCAAGATCTACATAAAGTTTCATCTTCTATAATTGTAAATGCTTTACCACGAGAAACACGAGAAGTTTCTGAAATGAAATGATTATCACTGCTCTGCGTGTTCTGTTCTCGCGAAGTTTTCGACATAAAATTAATATCAGTGTTGTGCTGAAACATTTGTGATTCTTCAAACATTTGGAAATCTTCCATAACTTCAAAAAAATACAGTACATACAATATGTAAAATAGTAAAAAATATTAGAATGATATACAATATAAATTAAAGTTTCAATGGAGAAATATCACAGAAGAAACAAAATTCACAACATACAATATAATGCTCTTCTCAAAATAAAAGACTCTGTCATCTTGATATACAAAACTGATATATTTTATAGCACACATTATCAACGGTAAATTTTAAAAAAACTCTGTTCATACAACGGTAAATTTATTAAAACGGCTACTTTTTAAAAGATGTATATGAGCGGCAAATTATCAAAAGACTCTGTCCATTCAACGGTAAATTTACTGAAACCACTAATTTTAAAATATTTATATAAAAGATAACAATTTGAATTATATTTTCAATGAAATTAAAATTTATATCACCCTTCAAATTATTTCAAATTATTCCAAGTCCACAATTCTACCTGTTAAAACCAAACCTGTAGGATGCGTAGACCGGGCGACCGGATGGTCAACCAGCCGGTCAACCGGCCGGTTGACCGGTTCACCTACACAGCCCAGGCCATGGCCCAGTTCAAACCCATCAGTTCAACCAGTTCAAACCCCTTACAGTCCAAACCCGTCGCCTAATCTCATGAACCGGTTGACCGGTTGGTCAACCGGCCGGGCAACCGGCCGGGCAACCGATGTATCTCCTTCAACGGTCAGTAACAGTGATTTGGTAAAATGCAGAACTTGTTTTCAGTTTGATACTTTTTTTGCTGATTTCTCATTTTGATATTCATTTGATGCAACGGTTGGAGCATGGAAAAGTACATTTTTCATCAAAATTTAAATCTGATATCAATTTTGGTTCAGCGTTGGAGATGGTCTTAGGTATCAATTTGGTCCTTAGACAAATTGACAATTTTGAGAATTAAAATGACATAATTTAAAATTTTAAGGGTTAAAATGACAAGAAACACATATTTTAGGGATCAAAACTGTTTTTTATCCAAGGATAAAATACTTTTCCTGTTATCAATGTAAACGAACATTAAAAATAAGACTGAATTAACTCAAATTGACAATTCTGATAATCAAAATGACAAAATTAATATTTGAGGGTCTAAAATGACAAAAAATACTTTAAGGATTAAAATTGTTTCTTATTCAATTTCAAAAAAGATTCGAAAAAAGTTAGTATAATTTATTCAATATTTAAATTGAGTAATATTGACCAAATACTCACATTTGAGGAGGTATTTAAAAATTATCCATGCAAAAGTATAATATTATACTAAGGCCCCGTTTGGGACTTACTTTTTTAGCCAATTAGCCAAAAAGTTACTAAATTAGCCAAAAAGTCAACAACTTATACCAAAAAGTCAAAGATTCTCTTTTCTCTCTACTTTTTGCACATCTTTTCGTAATTAGCCAAAAAGTCATCCCAAACATACAAGTTTTTTTTACCTACCTTTTTAGCCAAATAGCCAAAAAATTACTAAATTAGCCTATTCCCAAATGAAGCCAATAAATAAATTTAGTCGTTCTAACATTATTCATTTCAGTAATATTAATGGCGAATATGGAACTCTTTTGCCTACCATGCAATTGTGTTATTTGCATTTTTTTTTTCAAATTTTCAAAAAGTCACAAGTGAAGCAATTGAAAATAATTCAACGGTTACAATTCTTGTACAAGGATGATTTACTAGGAAAAAAACAACACCAAACATGACATTAACATGTTAATATGTCAATTTTCAAGCTGATAAAAAAAATATGTCAATTTTCAAAATGTTCATACGCCTAGACAGGGACATAGCTAAGTAAAAGACTAAGAGGGGCACGTACCCCTCTTCAACTTTTGAAAAATTATATTTTTAACTCAAATTTTAAAAATATTTTATAAAGTAAAATAATTAAGGATATTAAATATTTTGTCGTGTCCTTGTGGCCTTGGACATGGGAATTAGATGAATTAGACACTACCATCAAATTACTCTAAAAATTTAACACTCTCCTTTGTCCATCCTCAACACAAAATAAAATAAAATGAAGAAAAAACTAAGAATAATATCACCACCACCACCACCTCCCAATGACAAAAAAAATTAAACAACTCAACAGAGGAAACCCTCTCGAAAATTTTTTACGCATTTACAGCCTATGTACACTCAAAAAGCAAGTATTCACATTGGAAAACAATCAAGGTACAATGAGACATGGTGATAGCTCAAACTAGCACAAAGAAAGAACGAGGGGTTGCACATTAGGTTGACAACCAGCATAAAACCACTAGCAGGTTCCATAAACTCTGATGAATAACCTCCATTAATCTTTATCCGATCATCACTTCACGTATACGGATAATATTCATCTGTATTCAGTGTGGATTGATAAAATTTCTCCAAGTACAAATCACTTCATCTGCAAATTTTCAGATTTTGCATGTCCTGCTCAAACGGTAAAAATCTTCCTCACCTTCTTCATCGTCCTCCGACAAATGGGACAAGTACCAGCCTCTTCCACAACCCTGCAAAGTTAAATGAATTATGAATCTCAGACCATGAACACTCCTTGTTATTTTCTATAGGGTGGATGTTGAAGAAAACAAATGTATGAAGAAATTTATCTCACTGTGGTTAACAGGCTACGAAGCACCCGACACTACAAAACAGGTCACGTAGTGGCATTGGACACAGACACACATTAGGGGGCACGTACTGGCATGTCTATTTATTTAATTAATTTGTTTTCACAGGACACGTTGGGGACACACCAGCCAACTAGTTTTTCTTCCCCTCTTCTTTAGTGCTCTTGATGGACGCTGCTCTTGATGGACGCTGGATGTTGAACATTTAATATTTTTTACTTAGATGATTTAAATAATTAATAGATCATCCATACAAATACATAAATGTAATATTAATTTGCCAAAAAAATAAAATATGTAAAAATGTATATATATATTTTTGATTTCCATATCCGCCGTGTCCATATCCCTATTTTTTTTGAAATGATTATGTTCCATGTTCGTATCTACCCATGTCCATGTTTATACTTCTTAGTTATCAAGTAAAGTGAATCCTTGAAACTAATTCACAAAATCCCATATTGCAAATCAGTCGAAGTAAAACAAACCTTGTTCCACATGCAAAACAGGTAGCGCAGTGCCCGCATGGAAGAAAAAAACAATCCCGTGGGGCATCGAAGCATATAACACAAAGACGGCGAGGGCTGCTATTGCTTTCCCCCTCCTTTGATGCCTTTCCATCAATGGAAGGCACTATAAGCCACTCATCCACTTCCTCCTCATCATGTGAAATAGAATCATAAGATGAACCCCGACTTAAAAGATCATCGTCTTTATGCGAAAGCAATGGAGCTCTTTCGGGTCCCACCTCCCCCACTCGGAATCCTATTTCGTCTTCCCTGGTTATTTGTAACATTTTACAGATTCGAAAGGCCAGTAAGACGATTACAGTCATTATACCTACATCCAGGAGCAGTAACTAATGAAAAGAAAGGAATTTATTTATTTTACAGTCATTCTAAATAATAATAATAAATTTAAAAAAAAAAATTGTATTGGGGATGTCATGAGATGGATATCAAAGCAAAATAACATGAATGCAATTAGTAAATTACCTGACCCAAGAACATAAGTAATCCACCGTGGTCCATAAGAGACTTTGACAAACCATTCTTTATATGGCACACCCTGAGAGAAGCCCGAGTTTAAATTCATAAATGAAAAATCGAAATCTTCATGAATCAGATCTGCAACTGATCCATTTATACTAGAGCCGAGAGAAGAATGCACACTGTTAAACCCACTAAAACCTACCACTACCACTACACACCTCCATTACCCCACCACCAACTCCACCTACCATCTCCACTACCACCCACCAGGAAGAGATACCCGAAGGCATCTTTTCAGAAGCATTTCCTACCCCGCCTGAAGCTAGCATATACCCGCCATGGCGGAGAGGCAATATGTTTCAGAGGTGTGTCGAGGCCTGCTACGCAGAGTCTCACAGGTAAGAAAGAAGGGCAAGTTAACCCTGATAGCTATAATGGACAGGGGGCATGGCGGCCGTGGTCCTTTTCTCTTACGGAGGAGGAGGATGATGAGGATTTACTCACTGACGAAGACGCCGTGAGTCAAGATGAGGAAGAACAGCAGCTATAGCCAGACATGTGCTCGCCCTTCCGTCTTTCTTTCTTTCTTCCCCTATTTACGATTGGTCTTTGACTCTTTGAGACGTATGGCTAAATATAGAGAAGATCATTTTTTTTTTTTTTCTGGGTAAGAGAATACAGAGAAGAACTAAAAAGGACTCTAGATGTCGATTCATGCCCCAACAGTGACTAAGGCAAGCAAAATCATTAGTAATGATTATCATAGATTCTTCTAGTTAATAACTTACTTTATACATCATCTCCAAACACATTTTGATAAATTGTGCAAATGCTCATATAATTCACAGTTAAGGCATCTTGAAATTCTAACCTCGCTGATAAATATAGTAGAAAATGCATATACGAACAAATTTCAAGGGCAGCTCTTTAAAAAATAAATTAAGTTAAAAAAACAAATTCTTTACCTGTTCTGTGGCCGGAGAAGTTAACACAGCAGCATTTGCCCTTACAAGAAGAAGCTTCAAACTACATAAACGATGACTCAGAGAGCACTTGTAATATGCCTGGGTTGTATTATAGAGAAAACCCTTTATTGTGAAGTTCAGTTTAACCTAGTCAACGCAGAATTAAGCAAAATAAGTCAAGGTGAAGACACCAGCATGTTTATACCACGTATATTATTGCCCCCGTTGATAATAATTTGACTATATTTTTAACAGTAAAAATATATGTTAAATAACATGGTTTATATCACTCGATGACTGCTTGGACCAACAAATAATGGGAATTTATCACTCTTAATAATTCTCTTGCACAAAAGCTCGTAATACTACAGTTTCTTGCAGTTATAAATCATCTAAAATGTAAGACATTTTATGAAAATATTAAATAAAATAACTATAAATAAATAAATAAATAACTCAAAAACTATTTTTGAAAGCTCAAAACCAAATAGAGAACATAGATAATTTATGTAACCAAATCCTTGGAGATGAATGAAAGCAATCAAAGTTTTGCAAATGAAAAGGATTCTTACCGATGTTTCACCTATTCTGACACAAAAGGATTCTGTTAGAAGCACTAAAGACCATAGAGAATAAAATTCTCAATGGCCATCTTAATTCTAAAGGTGCATAGATTGTGGACTACAAATAGGAAATTCATTCGATGTAATCTCAATCAATTCTAGGAAGATACTGTCCAGCTGAATTTTGAGCAACAAATACTACAAGCATCCATCCTGAGGACTCCATAATTCTGGTATCATTTGAAACAGTTTCACAAGCTTAGAAAATCACTTCTTTATTTATTTATTTTTCCCTACTAAACACAGAGGACTTTAAACACTTCCACAATTACCTCCACCTCCTCAGAGTTCAAATTTCGCACAGCAATATAATACAATTTAGACCACAAAATTTCCTGTTGGATGATACCATTTCCTGTGAAGGAAAAGACATAAAGATTAATAACCTAATCCACCACAATTTTTTTAATCATACAATATATAACAGTAACACCACCCCCCTTATTACCATGAATAATGTTCCAAGACAAAGTTGTATTAGGATACGATGGGTCCTCTATCCACTCAACAAGGCTGTCTCTACCTGCAGAATTGTCATAAATAAGTGTGAAGAAACTAAAAACATTTTTGTATGTGTTGAGGCTTAAAATGTTTACAAGTGTCTATCGATAAACTTATAACTTAAGAGGGTTCATAGTTCTTGTAATTGATAGATTATTTTGGAATATTTGCTACATTAAAGCTGGTACAGCTAGAACACAGTGCATAGCAGTGGACATGAGATAAGTAACAGGTTTAGAATTCGTAGTGGGAGAAGATACAAGATTTTGAAGCAGTTGGATTAGTTTTTAAATATTCCTATACATAAAAGTCAAACTTTCTGGAATCCTAAATATATGCTCACATATGAATAACAAAGATAAACTCCCTCATACTCATTGATGTCACTCTCTGATACGATTAAACACGACTCATTAGACCGTAACAATTCAGTATGTATCAGATAACATCTACATGCTAGAAGATACAAGATTTTGAAGCAGTTGGATTAGTTTTTAAATATTCCTATACATAAAAGTCAAACTTTCTGGAATCCTAAATATATGCTCACATATGAATAACAAAGATAAACTCCCTCATGCTCATTGATGTCACTCTCTGATACGATTAAACATAACTCATTAGACCATAACAATTCAATATGTATCAGATAACATCTACATGCTGATCAGGATGATTCCAATGTGCTCCTTGAGGGACCTAAATGTTAGTAAACCATTTCAAAACAAAATCAAAAAAGGTCTCCAGAAACTACATTTCTTTTAATCCCTGACATTATCAAAAAAGAGTTTATAGACTTGAAAAGTAGCTTGTACAATTGCATCCATAAAAAATTACTATTTGTCTTGCCATAATTTCACGATTGAAAAGTTTAAATTTACCTTGGGCTATTACAAGGGACAAAGGGGCAGAACTGGGGGATTTGACACTGTATGAAATATTCACTTTAGACCCTTTGTTAAGAAAGTATGCCCACTCCTGCAACGCAAGAACAAATTTAATTCAAACTATTATTCAAAACATATGAACAGTGTCAGGAAGTCAGTGTTTCAATGTTACTAGGAAGACGGACATAAAGGGTTGAGAATCTATGCCTTGTGATAAGCAGATTGTATAAATGCATTATGTGTTTCAGACCAGGTGATTTCAGTATCCAGAGGAGGGGGCTCATAAAATCCATATAGCATTGGCCCATGTTTTGACTCATCTATTTGCTGTGCCTGGTTACATGCCGAACAAGATTAATTACCAATTTACCACATAATTACAGAAGCAAAAAAAAGGTTCAATTGGGAAGGAATAAAATAACAAGGGAATAAATAACCTTAATTGACTTCACAAAGATAGGGTTAACTTGTATCAGGCAAGAGCAATTCGGGCCCAACGGCAAGTTCACAGATCCATAAAAGCCGAGTATCACAGTCATCGATGCTGCTGGAACAAGTTTAAGAAATGTACGAAGAGGCCAAATCGATTCATTAAATAAATAAAGCAAACAACATCCACCATGTTTGTGTCTTATGGGGAAATATAAACAATATGTATATTTGAATATTATAGACTTCAACAATTTTGTACCTAAGTTGCTAAAAAGTCTGAGGGCATCTCCAGTTCTTATCAAATTTAAATTTTTAAAAAATACTCAAAACCTCTTTCCACTTCTTTACTCAAACTCATGCCAAAAAGAGTTTCTACTCAAATTTTGACCCAAATCAAGGGAGACCTTTTTTAAATTCATATTTCTAAAGACAATTTTGGAGTGATATAATAATAAGTTCTAAATTTACAATTGTGCCACTTGTCGAACCAATACTCAAATTTGAGTAAAAATAGGAGTAAGGGCTAGAGATGGCCTGACTTGGTTTAATCCAGTTTTTATATAACTTGGAAAACCCAAAAGAGAAATGGTATAGAAGATTAACGCCTTCTTGAATTCGTGAGGTTTCTCAGCAACCAAACAGAGGCCAATAAAAAGAAACTACTACTAAAAAAACAAAAAGAAAAGAGAGGATAATTGGGAGAGACCAAAGAACCAAAATGTGACGAGCACGATGAGGCAAGACCAGGCGTCATCTCTGACGTGGGTCGAGGGAGAATCGGATATCGATATGTTTAGCCGATAAGATACTCCGGGTGTTGTGCGGCGGCGGTCCTCAATTTGGGGTAATTGATTGCTCTCTTCTGGTTCTGGTTCTGGTTCTGGTTCTGGCTCTGGTTCTTCATGGACCTGTGAATCGGACGATGAACCCTCTATTGCATTCGAAGAAGAAACACACGGAGTGGGAGTGGGAGTGGGATTGTGCTCTGGTTCTTCTTCCATACTGAACAACAAGAAGTGGAAAAAAATGAAAGTGTAGGTCAAAAATTTGAAATGGATTCAAAAACAGGGGTCTGACCTTGGAGATTATGGGTTGAATCGGCCATTGTTGCAATTCAAAAGCAAAAGCCATGACGGAGGAATCTCCTGGGGTTTCACCTAGCAGTCCTCTCTCTCTTGGGAAGGTAGTTGGCCTCTCTCTCTCTCTCTCGCCAAGGTAGTTGGCTGGGCGACTGTTAGTTCAAATTCCTCTGTATTATTAGGGAAGTTATTGGTTGGTCGCAACTTGGCATTTTACATGTACTGTCATTGGTGGAGAGATTACGTAATATGGATTTGTATAGTACGAGTTGTTGAGAATGTTTTGATTAAGTAATGTATTGATGGGTCTACACATATCAAAATTAAATTATTAAATTATATTAAATTTTTTTAGAATAATAGCAAATTTAGGTATTTATCTATAGGGATAATTGTAAAATTAAACTAATTTAATTGTTAAATTCTTAAATTAATTTTGATAAAAAGATTAATTGTTAATAACCTAATTTAATAACAAATAAATTAAACTAAGTAATTAAATTATCAATTATAATTAAAATTGGATTTACTAATGTGGAGAAAAACCTAGGGTAATAAGTCCACCACTAGTTACGTAAATAGGGTTTCAAATTGAAAACAATTATGCTATGGTTCGAACGGAATAATGCTTCTGTGATAACCCTGTTCAGTATTATACTAATTGATCTTTGTTATGAATATGATTATGTGTTTGATATGATTTTGAGTGCCATTTATATGATTATATGTGATTTTGAATTTCTATCTGTTCATCGTAGGAAAATCTGTTGGACTTTCTACTTTGGAATCTAAATTGAAGGTCATATTGACCGCAGAAATCGAAATTGACTACACCATTGTGATTAGTGTAATTTTTAGAGCCTACGGTGAAATTTAATTGAAAATTGATTCGGATCAAATTAAATAGGTTAAATTGATGATATGGTGCTCAATTAATTATAATAATAAAATATGTTTTAGAGAGAGAGCCTATAAAATGGGCCATTTTCACTCAATACCTCTCTTTGTATTCAATTTTGTTAGGTTTTATTCTTGGCAATCCCGTTTGACAAAACTCCTTTCAGTTGTATTTATTTTTGCACTTTTATTTCAGTGAGGCTATGAGTATTTAGATACGAATCCAACCCAAATTGTGCCTTTTAGAGAAGTTTGTGATGCTAATGCTTTCAAGATTGCCACTTCGCTGATTATGACAGGGATTGAGCTGCCCGGTCAGCTCGCGGGGGTCCAGGGGGCAGCGCCCCTTGGCGGGTCTGGGGCAGCGCCCCCGAAGCAAAATGCAAAAATGCATTCAAAATTGCCTGTCCGCTCGAGCAAACATATCCGCGCTCGAGCGGAGAATTCCTGGTTCCAGCAGTTTTGGTCACCTGTAAAAGTATTGAGATGTGTGATTTTGCGCTCGAGCGGACTCTCTAGCGCTCGAGCGGACCTCTGTTATATCACGCGCATATTTTGCTGAAGACGCTCGAGCGGGATGTTGGGTGCTCGAGCGGAGATCACGGGACAGATTCTATAAATTCGCGTGTTGGGTCAGATTTTAGGATTACTACTCCAGATCTTCTTTTTGAGTTCTAGGGTTTATATCTTGGGATACTTTGTGAGTTTTTTCTTTGATGTTTTATTGAGTATTCAACTCATGGTTTAAAGATAGTACATCAAAGGTTGTGTTTTGTTCTACAAAAGAGAGAGTTGTTCTTCGGTGGATTCTGAAGAATTCAAGCCTGAAGCTTTGGTGGATTCCGGGGTGGCTCATCGTAAAGACAATTCCGAGGTGAAGACGGGTTGGAAGAGGCACATAGAGGTTGGTTCAATTAGGCGTGGATTCGCTAGGTAATTGAGAGTATACCTGTGTAATTCCTTTAAATCTTCTTAGTGGATTATTTTGTGGCTGTTGCCCGTGGTTTTTTTATCACAGTTGGAGGTGTCCAATTGTGGTTTTTTCCACGTAAAATCGTTGTGTCTCTTTGTCTTGATTGTTTGATTAGGATTGTTATATTCTGCTTAAAATTGATACATAATCACAAATCAACATCTAGGGGATTTCTAGATTTTTTCAATTGGTATCAGAACAGGTCGTTTTATTTTTTAAAAAAAAGAAATTCTTTTAGAACGAGATCTTGTTTGATTTGTGATAATGGATTCAATTCGTGAGGGAAATTCTATGGTTCGACCACCCCTACTTGACGGATCCAATTATTCTTTTTGGAAAGCTCGGATGAGATCGTTTTTAAAATCTATTGATGAAAAAGTTTGGCAATCCGTCATGAATGGGTAGACTAAACCAACAATTACTGTTGATGGAGTAACTTTCCCCAAATCAATTAATAAGTGGGACACAATTGATTACCAAAATAGTAGTTGGAATAGTAAAGCCATCAACTCTCTTTTTTGCGCTGTCACACCTGAAGAATTTAGTCGTATTTGTAATTGTGAAGTCGCAAAAGAGGCTTGGGATATCTTACAAACTATTCATGAGGGCACTCCTTCTGTTAAACGCTCAAAACTTCAAAGGCTCACATCTAGTTTCGAAAACCTTTCAATGAAAGATAGTGAGACCTTTGATGAATTTTGTGCGAAATTGAGTGACATTGTAAATTCCAGCTTCAATTTAGGTGAAAAAATTCCAGAATCCAAAGTTGTAGGAAAAATTTTGAGATCCTTGCCCGATCGGTTCCAACCAAAAGTTACGGCTATTGAGGAGGCTCAAGATGTTGACAACCTCAAGCTGGATCAGTTGGTTGAAAATCTCCAAATTTATGAGGCACACAGGAATTTCAAAAAGAAACAAAAAGATACTATTGCTTTTAATAGTGCTCATAGAGTTGGAGAGGATTCTGATGAGGATTATGAGTTAGATTCCAAGATTACAGCTGCTTTTGTTAAACAATTTAAAAAATCTTTTCTGAAAAAGAATCCTAATCTTTTGGAATCTACTCATACTCATAAATCTAAAGGCAAAGATAAACTCAAAATTAATTCTATAGCCAAGAAGGAGAAAGGAAAGATACAAGGGAACTCTGAAAGACTCCAATGCTATGAATGCCAAGGATTTGGCCACTTTGCTCAAGAATGCCCCACTCGGTTGAAGAAGAAGAAAGCCCTTACCATCACTTGGGATGATGAATCTGAATCTGATGAAGATGAAAGCGACAATGAAGATCAAGGCGAAGAGGGTCATAAACAATTCCTTGCTTTCATGGTGGCTTCCGAAGCTGAAGGACAAACAGATTCTCCGAAGAGGTCAGTTGAGAATACTACTGATGATAAATCCTCTGAGAGTGATCATGAAGAGCTTGAGCAAGCTTATGAAAAGTTGTATAAGGAATCTCTTAACTTATTCAAATTGAATGACAAACTCACAAAGAAACTCAAAGCATGTGAAAAGTGAGAATGTCAAACTTAAGGAAGAGATTTCCGAGGCCAGGATGAATGCCATCAAGGTAGCTGATGATCGACAAGTTCTTTGTGCAAAACTGTTGAGTTGTGAGACAGAGAGGAATGAGCTACTGCAAACCCATGCCATGTATGAAGAAAAGATTGAATCTCTCAAGCTGTCACACGTTGCTTTGGAAGAACTAATGATCAAGAAAGAGGAAGAGCTCAAGTGTGCTATGGCTACCATTGGCCTTTGGAACAAAGGATCAAAGACTTTGGAGGATATCATTGGGTCTCAACAAATGAGTTGTGACAAGAGTGGCATTGGCTTTGGTGATAAAAAAGAGCAAAAACAGAGTGCTTCCACATCTTATGATACAAGAACTCAAGGAAAGGGGAAACAAAAATTTCAACATAAGGATGGACTTCTCAAACTTCCTAGAGTAGGTAAGGTAAAAGAAAAAACGGTACACCTTGGACACCTTATTTTTATTTGTCATCATTGTGGTATGCATGGTCATATTCGCCCTTACTGTTATAAGTTGCATTGTAGAGTGTCTCAAAAGGGTAGAAATTCGAATACTTTTTGGGTTAGGAGACAACCTTACATGTCTAGGCAGAATACCAAGATTCATAAGGGTGTTCACAAAGACCGCTAGACCTAATTTTGTTAAGATCAAAAAGATTTGGGTGAGAAAACTTGACTTGTATTAATTTGTTTATTTGTTTTAGTTTTTGGGTTTTTGTGTGTTTTTTTTAATGAAAAAAATAATAAAAAATGTGTGCATGTTCGGTTTTTGTTTTGCTTTATTTTTTGAAAAAAAAAAAAAGACCAAAAAGGATTTTCTTAGTATGGTTTTGCAAGCTTGAAATTTTTGAGTGGTCCTTGGTGCATATTGGATTTGATGAGAATATCCATTACCTGTTAATATGTGTGTGCTTTCTGTGGTCATTACTCATTTTGGAGTGTGTATTTTTTGATTAGTATGTCTCATTCTGTACACACTCTTGGATTAGTAAATTTTGGAGTCTTCCGCCTTAGTGATTATTTTTTTTGGACTTCTGGCATTGTATCTTTTTGCTTTTCTAGAGGAATTGACCTATACTAGCATATCATGGGTGATGTTGAGTCTCTTAACCACCTACCATCTTTTTGCATCTCCATGGCTTTCCCCTTAATTCTTTGCAGTCTAGCCATGAGGAAAAGACTACCTCAGAGTCACCAACCAGGCCATCCTTATTATATCCATGCTTCTCTGGTTCGGTTTCCATACTCTTGAGCGTGTCAGCCACCAATGATTGTGCAAAAGAAAAAGAAAAAGAAAAAGAAAAAAACGAAAAAGAAAAAGAAAGAGAAGAAGACAAAATATGCTAAAGAAAGAAAAAATGTGCAAAAGAAAGAAAGAAAGAAAAGATTCATTGATTGAGGGGGAGCCTTCGCCTTTACTCACCAAATATCCCTTGATTCCTAGTGGTTTGACTTTCTTTTGTTGTGCTTAGATTCTCTTGTCGGAGGTCCAGTTTTCATATCACTACTAGGATTGAATCTAGTGTTTGTCGAACTCCAAGAGTCACACACACACTTTTTATCATGGGATCTATGCTTTTCACATAATGCATCACTTTCTTTCATGAGGAATCTTCTACAAGCTGCGCACATTGTGTTTTCTTGTAATGGTGCTTCTTGGATAATCTTATGTGTTTTAAGGTACTAATCTGAAGATCCTTGCTTGCTCCACCATATTATTTTTTGTCTTTTTCTTTTTGTTCACTGTTTTTAGTGTTTGTGGTT